TTTACCAGGCCTGTCACTTGTCTCTATCTCACTCGTGGCTCGGGCCTCGCTTCTCTGTGTCCGCGGGGCTGTTACCCACCCCTGTGTGGGGGACAGTCGTAACGATGCTGTGCAAGTGCCTAAGCTCAGCACCCAGGAAGCCGCGGGCTGTGCGTCCGAGCTGCCGTCGGCATCCGGCGCTCCCTGTGCAACAGCGAAACTGTGGTGTATTCTAATTAAGTGTCCCCTGCCCCTTCTTCTTCGTGTTTCTTGAGTTTTCAGTCTGCTCCATGAGTGGGAATGTGCAGTGCCAACTCAGAAGAAAAAATGAGGCCACTTGTCTAGAGCAGGAATTCCTGTGACTGCAGTATACTCACTTTTGCCATCCGCCCTCCTTTCTTTTTCAGAACCTCAGCTTTGCGTTGCGGGAATTCTTTTGGTGGGGGATGGAAAGAGGCACCATAACCTCACCATTGATTTATGGCTTTTCCCTTAAAGTATCTGGAAATATTCACTGAAAAGTAGAAAATAATATTTCAGTGAACCATGCTGGAGTCTTTTTTTGTGCGTAAATAAGGAAATCTATCACAAAGAATTTTGATTAAAAGTTATATTCTCCCTCAGCATAAAGATAAGAAAAGTATTGTATAATGAAATATAGTTTTCAGTTGTGAAGTCAAAAAATATTTGAGGTTTATGTCTGATTATTTTAGAAAGTTGTCTTGAAAACCTCCAAAGCATTTTACAGTGTTTTAGTATGTCTGCTTATTAAACATCACTGCTTTGTCTCGGTAAAGTGCAGAGAAATTGTTTACAGCTTTTGTTTTCCTATCAATGCATTTTCTTCTTTAATCTTTATTTAATTTACAATCCTGATAGGAAGAGATCATGACTTCTAAAACACATGCAATATTAATTTAAAATGATGCATATTTTAGGGTTGTAATTCAGTTCTCATTTTGGCGCTGCACTTCATGACCATGTAGCTCTAATTGCCCAGAGCTCCTGCTACTCTCCCTGCAGAAAAAATACACCTTCTCACTGGGAAATCTGGTCCCCAAATTTTCACCCATGTTAGGAGAGTAGGTGAATCCGTGCTTGTGAATCTCACATAGACTGGTGATGGCTGGGATGCTGCCCACGTGTTATGTAGAGTGCCTGGGGCTCCCAGCATAGATGCAGCATATGTTAAGCAGCACGTGTGCGTCTGCGAGGATGGTCACCAGCCCCCGAAATAACATATGCCCAGCCAACAAACTTCCCCTGTCGTTGGCGTACACACACCAGAGGTTTGGCCAGAAAGCTGGTGGCAGCTGGGGAATGTGCATTTTCCACGTTGGGAGCTGCAACAGCAGACCTGCCTAGTCCACAGGGGGCTGTAGACAAGTCCCTGTCGTATTTTCCAGGCTGTCAATTTATTCAGTGTTCTGGACTGCCATGGCATTGGCCATGGTGGAAGCCAGCGCAGCCTGTTCTGCGTGGGGCTTTCGGCAGCTCTGGCGCACTGTTTTAGCACCGGTGCAAACCCTTGGACGGTGTCTCGTCAAGTAAGGGTGGCCTCTCCTGAGTTCTTGCTGTTTCCGTGTGTTTGAGAAACAGCAGTTTCCAGCAAAACTGTATTTTCATTTGCCATATGTGTGGAAAGCTTAATTAGCGTATTCATCGGGCGCATTCGTTAGCCAAGAGGTAGCAGTGCAACTCTCTTTACAGGACCTTCATAAATGGTGAAATTCCAGTAGAACCAGCCAGATTCTGCCTGTGTCCCATGGATTTTCTCATACCCAAAGTGAGCGTGCTAGAGCAGTGAGTGCTCTCGAATCAACATCTTTAAGAAGCTCTCTTTACCTTGCTCTGAGGTACACGAACACAGCACGGACACAGATAACTCCTGCTAGCTCCAGTAGCGCCTTGGTCTTGGTGGTGACGGGCAGGCTTTGGGTCCTGCCCTAAGAGTACGTGGATGGCTTGCGCAAGTGCACAGGCTAGATGGTAACTACTGTCCTTTTGCTGTGAGCAGACTGTGGCAGCGCAGGTGGTGGCTGTCACCTTTTCCTTCCCTTTGGCGTTGAACGGAGGGCCAGTGCTGGGAACGCAGCCGTTACGCAGCCCGGCCGTGTGAATGCAGTGCCCCGGAGCGAGCGGGTCCGCGTGCCTGGGGACTCGCTCAAGGGACGGGGTTTGTCAGGCTCTCCCCCGGCGGGCAGCGAGCGCTTCAGCGTCACTGCAGCGGGTTCGCGCGCCTGGTGCCTCCGTGTTTAACACCGTTTTGTGATGTTTTTAGGTTATGTTGGATATTAACGTGTAGCAATCAGAACGTAATTGCAGCTCAAAGAAACAGGCTGTCTGCTAATCGCCGTGGTGTCCCACAGAGCGATAAGATATTGAGAACTTATTCCCGCCGGACTCTTATTCTTATTTCCACAGAAATCTGAAATTAAGCGTCATGCTGTATTTGATAGATTTACACGAGGCGTCTTGGTTTAGGTCAAGGCTGTTGATTTTGAAAGATTGGACTTCACAAGATTATTTTTTGTCGAGCTGGGGGAGCTGTTGATTGGCAGCGAACAACATTATGTTTTTTGATACCACGCTGAGGAAAAAAAACGCGACTGTGTTCTATGCATAAAGATCAAATGCCTTTTCAAATGTTTATGTAATAGGTAGATGTGGGATATGGGAGGAAGTTTTTGTACCGAGGGTGTATGCCTAAGCCCTAATCACAGGATAATGGCACTGGGAAGGAGTGTGAAACCTTTGCTGTCGAATGTCAGGTCTCACAGAACCATTAGTCATTCATTTTGGTTTTTCCTTTTCTCTTTAATTTTAAAAGAGAAATTAGCCTATTTCGGAGTATGCATATGAAAAATGATGGTACAAATTTCAGTACAGAAGGCAGGGTAGAAATAAATACTGAACAGTCAAAATTCACTGCAGCTACAGGTCTTGAGTAGTCAGCTAGCTTAGGAATAGTTCTTTTATTTTGAAGGTTCTTTACGGTATGAATTTTCAATTTTCAATTCCCAGTCAAAGAGCGTGACTGCTAATGGTGATTGCTGTGAACGCCGCGACATCAGGTATGTGAGGGAGCCTGGGAGAGCCTGAGGAGAGGCCGCTTTCCCTCCTGTTGAGGAAGGCAGGCAAAGAGGTTAAGCGCTGGCCATGACTTTAAGGGAAGGACCAAGGGCCCGGGTTAATCCTGCTGCTGCTCCTGCTGCCCGGGGTCTTGGCACGGGGCCGGGGGCTGCCGGGGCCCTTGGCACGGGGCCGGCACCCCTCTGCCCCCGGTGCGTGTGGGAGCGCGGCTGGCACAGGGAGCAGGGGCCAGGCGCAGTGGGTGCCTCTCGCGGTGCCGGATCTCCCCTCGCTGCAGCTGCCTCCCAAAGCTGCTTCCAAGGAGCTGTCCGAGCTGGAAAGCAAAGCACAGGGAGCGGGGAAGGCCGAGAGGCTCCTTCTGAGGCACGTTCATGGAGCAGATGCAGTCACTGGGGCGGGTGCGTCCGTGGTGCTCCAGCTCAGCGGGATTGGATTCTCTCAGGGACTGGAATGCTCTCTTTTCTTCCGTAAAATGCCTTTTAACAGGACATTTCCTGCTGAAGTTACAAAGTATAGAAGAATTTCTGGAGCACTTATAATAACAGAACGCAACGCAGACCTAGCGAAATACTGAGGACGGTCTACTTGGTGGGGGGAAGAAAGTGAAAAAGGAAAAAGTTAACATGAAAATGACTATTTTCCTTCCAGACAGGCTGAAATTGCATTCTTCATTGGCACTCTTTGATTTTTTTTTCTTTCTATAGGGATTAAGGGAGTACAGAGTTAACCTAATATGGAAACAGAAGGAGAGTAGGGATTTGATGATGGGTTGCTCAACAAGTTAACTCTCCTGACAAATATCTGATTTTGCTGTAGCTTTTCAGTACTCTTTCTCTATGTATCCTCATAGTTATGTATCATTAAAAATAAAAAGGAATAAAGTACAAACATGAAAATAAAGTTGGAGAGGTAGTGGATGGTCTGCAGGATTACATCAGACAAGCTGCAAAAATCAAACTGTAAAATAGATGGGAGAAGAGTGGAGGGGAGAGAAGGAGGGAAGAGAAGTAGATAAAAGAAGCAAAAGAAAACAATTGGGGAATTTCAGATAGCTCTGGGATTTTTCCTTTTCTGTCTATTTTGGCTGATGTTACCGTCTGCTACTTAAATATGAAAACAACATGTATTTCGGAACTAGATAGATTGTTAAGCTTTTTATAAATTTTTACAATTATATATGTTTGAGGTTTTGCTCATTTAATTACCTACATGCAGTGCTGCAAGCATTATTTTTAATAGTGACTATTTTATGGAGGCCTAGATAGGCTGAAAGAGTGTGGCAGGATTGGCTTGGGTTAGCATATGGAGGACACCTTTCCAAACTAAAGATGAAAATTGCTAGGGAATATGCAGTTACTCATTCCGTGGGTGTCATTGCTAATGACAGATGCCTTCCCGGTCCTTTAGGAGCTGCCACTGTTTCCATGCCTTTGTTTTGAATTCTTCGGCATGAGCACTTTACTATAAAGCCTTTATCATATTGCTAAATTCAGCATCAGCGCTGGATCTGATCGTATCATTACAACGGCAGGTCCTGCAGAACAGAGTGGGTCCTGCAGCACTTGTTGTTCATGTAAAGCAGACACCAAGGCAAAGCTTTCCGAGTGACATTTCAGATGCTTGTTCTTTCTAGTATGAATTTATGCCAGTTTTAGAATAGTCTTATTGAAAACTTAGGAAACCTATCACTTTATATTTTGTTGACATTGCTCTTTTTTACCTTTCTTTGCTTCTGACTCATGACCCTCTTTGTCCTTAGCTGCTGCTGTTCCTAAATTTTCTGAAAAAAAAAAAAAAGGAAAAAAAAAACAGTCCTGGGCAGAAACTCCTCTCCTGGTTGTTTAAAGCCTCCCATGGAGCTCTAGGACTTTGCAGTTTTATTGTATATGCTATGATTAATCTACATTGCATGTATTTTTATTTTTCAGGAAACTGAAGCAGCAGTTCAGGCTAAGCAGCCGAATGTGGAAGAGGTTTTATCCAAAGGGTGTCATTTACATAAGGAAAAACCAGCCACTCATCCAGTCAAGGTAATGAAGCAAACCTTAGCAATATCCATTACTGCGTAATGGGTTATGCTTCCCCTGTTGTACACTTGTCCTTGACATGCTCTGTTTAAAATCAATGCGAGAGCTTGGCAAATAGCAGTGGTTGTGATCTCTGACAGCAGAGCCAGGGATAATGTAACATTCCTAGCTAGAAAATTCTTGCATATTGCAATGGAAGAATTATGTTTGACATTAATGTTTCTCCATCTATTCAAGTGTTACCTGTGTTGAAAACAAATTTAAGGGGGTTTCTTTGTCTTATTAACTGAATCTGATAACATGTTTTTAACTTGCCCTATTTTAAATTACACTTTCAGAACTACTCTCAATCAAAAAAAGTGAATGTGTCTTTTCTAAAAGGTGACAGTCGAGTCACAGAAGGTCCTTTGCTTTGAAGTTTTCCCTGTATGAATGAAAAAAGACAAGTCAATATGGAACATTTCCACTCTCTTTTATCTCTCTGGGTATTCATACAGAATGACTTGATTCCTGTTTAGGAGCAGAGAAATACATTGTTAAGAAGGCAGTTCCCTCTCAATTCATCTCTTTTTGAAAAATGTGCCATTGAATCCTTTCTGCCAACATAGAAATCAGTTTGAAGGGGATATTTTTTGCTCAGTTTTGTAGTGTTTTGTTAGACCTTCATAGAGTGTCATTTGCTATCCTGGAGGATCTTGAAGCAGAAAATAATAAAAAGTTAAGAAGTCTGCCGGTGACCTCTAACGTGAATTTCTTGTTTTACCACCTCTATTTATTCATTATATTTGGAGTATTTTTTTCCTTTCTTTTGCAAAATCTCCCCTCACCAAGTCATTTATAAATCCCATCATCATGTCTCCATTTAGAGGAGAACACTTACGCACTTATCTCCACTTTAGAAACTAATGCATATTTAATGATGTTTTGGTTTCTTTTCTATTTTCCTGAAGAGAAATCCTTGCAAATAGTTCTCGTATTCTTCTTTTTCATTTTTTTTTTTAATGACCGGTGCTCACTGAGAAATACTAATCAGTGAGAAATACTAAAGGAGATGAAGCAGAGTCACTTAGAAGTAGTGTGCTGATCAAAGGGTGCAGATACAAAGCTTTTGGCTCTATTATGTATTTTTTCTTGGCTATTTCATGCCTATTGCTACTGGAAAAAACCTTGCAGTGGCTGCATTCACTTGTTTGGTATGGCTGCACTTGCAATCTTAGGAGATGTTACTCAACATTTTAACAAGCAAAATATGTGAAATAACAGAAAACTGCAGGTTTGGGCTTCTCCACATTTTTTGTAATAAGCCTGTGATGAATCATGGAATGAATCATGGAATAATATTTGTCATGCTCAAGGAGAAGGCTTAGCAATGCTACTGGGCACCTTTGACTGAGGGGTACTTGACGTGGGATAAATCTATGCAGACCAAATTTCTGCCCTAGAATTATAGTCTGCATCCAGTTCTTTTAACAGTGACCATACTAAGGACACTGAAAACTGCCAAATATTAGCCATTTCTAAAATTATAAAACCAGATTTACTCAAGCACAGTAGGCTGGGACAAGATAACCCCAAATAGAGATCATGACATTTCTTGAGTTGCAGTTTTGAGGATGAATACTATACAATGCATCTGTGAGAAAATTAATAACTAGCAGTGAAGCAGTGGGTATTTCTTTCTTAGTTGAATATTTCATTCCTAATCCCTCTTTAATTGCATTTTACTTTTTTTTTATTACATTCTGTAGTTCATTTATGTGATGAACCTGTGAAGTTAGTTTCTGTTTCTGACTGTTTTGTCAGAATTGGTGAATTGCTTTTTTGATGTTGTAGTTCTCCTTAAGCTGCCAGCCCTTTGTACCGAGCTGATCTTCTGTCATGGTTCCTAGTGAGTTACTTGCACTACTGTTTGCTCTCTGTGCATTCCAGTGCACAATAATTCTCAACAAATTCTCAAGTATTTTCTTCAGCAGTTGTGGAATAAATTTGGAGGCTTAACTGAGGCTGGTGGGTTTCATGCAAATAAAGTATTTCACCTGAGAATATTCTCCAAGGTTGAATTAACTCCTAGGGAGCAAGATGGTATTTTCAGCTTTATTTATGCATGGGGACATTTACATGGAGATAAAAGCTGAAAGCTGCAGATGCTTCTGGATATCAAAATGGAAAAACTTACATTCTTCAGCATCATAATATCTAATATTTTACATGATAAAAACACAATTTTCACAATTTCAGTTGCAGCTGGAATTGCTCAACGCTTCTGCAAACAAGATATCAATGTCTCAAGTTGGATACACAGAAAAAAACTTACTTGGCTTCTTTAAAGACATTAATTAATATTAGTTTGTATTACTGGAGAATTCCATAGAAAATTACTTCTTTGGGGCAGCCTTGGCTTAACCATTCCTTTTCCCTCTCTAATTTCCATCTTAATTCACCAGTGTTTTCATTCTTTCCAATAAATGGTGTAGAGGCCCTGGAAAGTTCAGCCTTCTTTGTCACAGACTTTGACTCAGACCTCTCCTGTGCTGGAAAACAGTATTAATAGCCATAGTTGACTTAATTCTGGCATTTTGTAATCTTCAGCCATTTGTCTTTGCCACCTTTGTAAGATACTTTCATTTCATTGTTTTTATGGTAAATCCCATCTCTCGACTTTACTCCTGCCTCAGCTGAGATTAGTTCATGTATGATTGTTTAACCTCACTTAAATTGCACCTAGGCCAACTCAGGAAGGAAATCGATAAATCAATAAAAATATTCTCCAGTGGAAGGTATTTTGAAGTCGCTATTGTCACCAGTGCTCAAGGAGCTGCAATTACAGCAGAATTGTTCCACTTTAAGTGAATGTTTGAATGTGGACAGGTTGATTTATGGCAGATGTGAGACTGGATCAAACTGTAATTTGGAAGTCTGGAACTTTATTCTCTTTGGCCAGTTGTATAGTGCCTTAGACAGCCCTTTGTACCGTCTGCAGGGAGCGTGGTCTGTGCTTTGTCATTGCTGGAGAGAAATCCCTGGCTTGCGTCCGTGCGCGAGGGGAGCAGCTACTCCCAGTGAGGACCAGTGTTATATTTATAGCAAACATGTGTCTTTCCTCACTTGCTGTGAATAGATTACAGTCAAAACTACGCCAGAATAAGTGTCATCTTCCCAGCTTCTGTTTTCAAGGGCGCTCTGCTCCCATTGTTACTATTGAAATAATGGATATTGGAACCATTCTTTCCATCCTAAATTCTGAAAAAAAAACTCTTGATCTAGAACAACAGAAAAAAATAGGAACTTGTAGCTCTATCAAAAAAAAAAAAAAAAAAAAAAAAAAAAAGTATTCCAGAGTGTGGGTTTCTGTGCATTCGTGCTCCGCACAAAAATAAAGCAGGAGTTTGACAATGACTTGTCATTGATAGCGACTTCTGTCACACACACCTGATGGCTTCTTGTGCATTTTCCTCCTGACTGTTCTCAGAGAATCTGTGATATTGCAGAGTTCTGGTTTTAAGCTACTCCAACAGCTAAAGACGTGCTGTATGCCCTTGCACAGAGCTGTCTCCCCTCTTTCCTACTGTGTCAAAAAGCTGTCCAGAATTCATGGCAGGCAGTATTCTGGCCTCTGTTGGGGACAGATGTGAAGGAAGTTCTTTGCAGAATTAGAGTTTTCACTGGTGGAACTTGGGGCGATGTGCAGAGCCTGCAGAGAGATGCGCGTGCAGAACGTGCTGCTGCCCGGCGAGACGCTGACCTGGCCCCGCGAGCCTTGTTCCCTGCCTCTCTGCTATAGAGCCCTGTCTTTTGGGGTTCAAGGCAATTAAGTTCTCTTCATTAATAGCCATCCTGTTTCCCTCAAGCCTGGATTATGATGAAACTCTATACTGAATTGGGAGTGGGATGGGGATATTCAAAGCCCCCGTGAATGGCGTGGGGCCGCTGCTGCTGCCTGCAGCAGGCAGCCAGGGAGCAGCCTGCGGCACAGCTGGGGGCTCCGGTGATGCCGGCAGCAGCCGCGAGCCCCGTCCTGCGGCAGGCTCCCAGCGAGGAAGAGGAGGGCTGGGATTGCGGGGTCCGCAGTGCCCCAGTGCCTCCCTGCGTTACCCGAGGGCTGACACAAATCACAGCCCAGCCTTTCACCTGGAAGCAACAGGTCAGCAGCCAGTGCTCAGGACTGGCGGCCCACGCGCTGCGCCGGGAGATTGGCCGCAGTCTCCGATTTTTTCCTGTATTTGATGTTACAAATTACAGAGATTTCATTAGCCTGTTTATGCAATACACAGTTCACTTCTGCAGTTCCGTTAGCCAAACGAACGTGACAGGGTTGTAAAAACAGCTCTTAGGTGCTCAGAGGAGGTTGCCCTGTGCTCGCAGGGCAGCCCGTCTGTGGGGGCAGAGCGTGGGCGGCCGGGCTGTGGGGCTGGACCTGTGGGGCCAGGCCGGGCTGCCAGCGCCTGCCCTGCCCCGACGAGCACCAGGAGGGTCCCGGGAGCCAGGGTGCTCTCCAAGAGCCAAGGTGCTCCCCACGCCCCCGCCCTGGCAGCCCTTTCTTGCTGCCGGGGGACGTGCATTAGGAATCCTGCAGTCCTATCTGTGAAAACTCATCACTGGTTCAACATACACTGGGGTTTTTTTTTTTCAGTTCAGGCTGTCCAACACAATCAAAACACAAAGCAAAAAGTGGAAAAAAATTGTTATAAATTTCATATATATATAAATGTATTATTCTTCTGTTCTAGAGAAAATTAGAAGACTTGACTGCTGACTGGAAGGCAATAAACCACTTGATTCAACAACTAAAGGAAAAGCCAACGTTAGGAGCACCTGGCCTTTTCTCTGCAGGTGTCTGTAAGTGCTTCAGTATGTATGTCTTTCAAAACAAAGTTGCAAATTACACATTTGTAAATGAGAATGCTGGTGTAAAGTTCCTCTTTTTTATTATTATTATTATTTATTTATTCTTTCTATTTGGTATAAAGTGTCCCAACAGATGAATTAGTTTGTAGGTTTGGTGAAATGATTGTAGGGTGCTTTTCTTAGTGTTACTGTTTCAGAACGTTGTTTCTTTATCCTCGGAAGAGCTGACTTCATGACTTTCTGTAAGCAACCGTGGAGGGAGGTTGCTGATAATTTAAATCAGAAAAATAATAATGCTCTGGGTGAAGTGGATATAGGCCTTTCACAGAAAGAAATTCTGAAATTGCTTTTTAAATATGGTAGGGCAAGGAAATGGCACTGTTTCAAGGCAACGGCTGATGTATTCATAGAAGAAATTGTACTACAACCTGGTGGGAGTAATTTTGGAGTTAAATATTAAGTCTGTGATATCTATCTGTGGATGCCTGAGCTGATGTATCGACAGTAGGAGACTTGATCTCTTTCTAATTTTAAATTATTTGGACAATATTTATGTCATATTAATCTCATATGTCTTGGTACCTGCTGCTTCCCTGCGAGGACTGCCGAATCATTTCTATATACTTGATGCATGGATTTTTTTTCCACTGCTTTCCTCAGAAATGTTGTCATTAAGTATAGGTGGAAAAAAATAGAGAATGAGTGCTGGATTTTCAAAAGTCTAAGTTTCTAAAGTCTCTAAGATTCTTCCCTTGATATTAAAGTCTTTCCATCCCTTTGATACAGAACTTTGCTCACCCATAAAAGCTTCAAAGCTGGACAGTATGTCTGGGAGCAAAAGGAAACATTTTCCTCATCAGATAGTCTGTAACTCAGGGTATGTGACTCCCGTAGCCAACTGGGAGCTGATCATTTGCAGGATGTTGATCCTACATTGTTGCCTTTTAACTTTCTAGTGGTTGGCATAAAGGCAAGCTGGTCCTGGAGAAATCTCTGCTTTCTACTAGTGACTCTAAAGCTCCATATCAGAAAAAGTCTTTGTACAGGGAACTAAATAATTGTACCACAGAGAATTCGGAATATTCATTATTAGAAGAAGGTCCAGTTTCTGTCAAAGTAGAGTACATCAGTCCAAGCGGAGATGTCTTGCTCATGCCATATTAAATGCTAGCAAATAGAAGCAATTGTTAAGTTTTAGCTCTTTGGTTCAAGTGGCAATCATATCCATTTTATAAAAAGGGCTAAAGACTGCTGATATTTTTAGAACCCTTCATGCAGCCTTGCTTTACAGATGCTTTTTCCTCAGGCACACTGCTGAAATTCACCTAATGACATGGTAGAGCTGAAGAGATGTGTAATCATTTTTGCTGCGCTGGGTCACTGAACTGGCTGCGTCAGTTTTGCCTGTCAGCAGGTTATGTCAGCTGCCAGGGGAGGAGAGGTGGGAGAGCTCTGAAGGTGTTGTTGCAAAGGAAAAGGTAATAACTGAACGAGAGAGAGAGCACAGCCTGCAACAGATTGCTGTATTAGCTCCACTTTAACCAAAGAGTTGCAGAATTGCTCATTTACTTAAGTTCTAAAAGTAGACTCTGAAAAAAAGAACATTTCTGAGGTACAGGTGGAATTACACGTGTAAAATTGGGGCAGTGGTACAAGAATTAAGATGTTCTTTCTAATGCTAATAACACTTAAAATTTGAATGTGTGCTCCATAGTTTTTCTTTATTTGGGGTCAGTTTAGCACAATCACATCATTATCGGTGTCATCACGGAAAGAGAGATCCGCTGAGGCTGGAAGGCACTTTCAGAGATCCAGAGGGTGCCTAGCCCAGCCGCCTGCTCAAAGCAGGGCCACACGGAGCACATTTCCCACGGGGCTGTCCCCGCTCCGGGTAAAGAGCATGTATTTCACGTTCCTTTTCAGCGAGGTTCTCGAGGGAGAGGAGGGTGTGCAGGAGGCTGCTCCCCTCCTGTGCTGGGCAGCGCTGCGAGGAGCCCGGGCGGCAGCGTCCCCTTCCCGCAGGGCCTTCCTGCCGCCGTCTCCCGCCGCGCTGAGGCTGTGCAGAGTCACCCATGTCCTTGAGCTCCGATCTCGCAGAAGCATATCACCCTAAAATAAGCCTGCAGCATCCCCAAACATTTTGCTTAGAGGTCACTTTTAAAGAAAAATGCTTACAGTGGTTTTGGAAAGACTCTTTGAAGCAAAGATAGGATCTTCTCTTGATAGTTATTTTTTTACTGATTCTCAGAGGCTTTTGTGGCCACTAGAATTTAATAGTGTTCACATCTGTGTCCAAGACTAGGAGCTCACTAACCTCTACTGCCCTGTCAGGTGTCATTTGTCAGATAGGAGGAAGAACTTCATTCCTGTGAGGGTGCCAGCGCCCTGGCACAGGCTGCCCAGCGAGGCTGTGGAGTCTCCTTCTCTGGAGATCTTCCCAACCCGCCTGGATGCCGCCCTGTGCCCCGTGCTCTGGGTGTCCCTGCTGGAGCAGGGGGTTGGACTGGATGATCTCTAGAGGTCCCTTCCAACCTCAACCACTCTGTGATGCTGTGATTTGGTCTTGTGTGGTTTCAAGAAGCCAGCCAGAGGTTTGGGGGGCTACGAGATGTATCATCTGTTGGCTACAGTAGAGGTGAAGAATAGAACTGCAAAGCATTAATGTTTATTTCCAGGTCTGTGCATTACCGTTTCTTCAGCGCATGCAGTACTAAAAATTGTCCTTACTATCCCACTATCCCACTCTTGGGCATAATGAGCAACAGTTATTTTCCAGCAAGGAAAATGTCTTGGAAGTTAGTCTTTACTAAGGTACCTTCACCCAAAGTTGACTCAGGAAGCAAATCAACTTGCTGCCTGTCCTTGGTGTTATAATGTGAAATGGTGCAGAGGTCTCTAATCAAACACCTCGATGCCTCGCTTAGCCTGCCACGTGGGAACATGTTAAGCTTAGAGGCACTCTATTTTGAAATGTACTTCACAGGAGGGATAAATTTTCGCACCGTCTTTGTATGCACTGATACGACTTCTTTTATACGAAAATGCTACCTCTGTATTTGCTTAATAAGATAGACGAAGCTTTACAGAGCTTTGTAAAGCCATATGAATGAATACAGTGTGGCTTTGGAGATGTTCTCGACTCTGTTTCTGAGGATAACAATTTCCATTTTTTTGTCATCATTGAAATATAGATATAACTTAGTAAGATGTTGAAAAATCTTGGTCATTTTTGTTTAGTACTGTATGTGAAAATACCAATTCTTATAATGATGCATATTCTTTTTAATTTGGGTCGAATCATATTAGTTTGCAGGCTTCTGGATTAAAAAGACTCACACATACCAGCCTTAGTTGGCTACCCATTGTGGTTTCCTTACTGGAGAGCTAGTTTCCCTGTGGTGTTCAGGAAAAAAAGTTGTCCAATTAGTCTATCTGACTTTCATTAAGAAGCTTTTTGCCTGTTTACACGTGTGCCACATCTTAAAAAAAAAATAGCAGTATGGCACAAAACTGCATGTGTTACCATTTGATTAGAGATTTTTCAAGGTCAAGACCCAGTTTCACAGGCAGTTCTATTTTTCAATACAGCTGACATCAGACACAAGCTGAAAGACAAACTTGTCTAATAAAGCTTTCAGATTCAATTTTCTCTCCACATTCAGCTTCAGGAATCTCTAGAGGTCATTCACAGCATGTGCTGCAGCACCAGCAGGGAGAAGTAATGAAAAGAGTCTGGATAAAAAGCTGACACTACCCCTTCAAAGCTGCATGAATAAAAACATAATAAGCAAGTTTATAAAGGCAAATCTCTGTGATTCACGGAGTTTCTATCTTGATCTTTATAGAATATTTTGATGTGAGGATCTGTTTTTGGATTATCTGACAGGTAGAAAAAATATATACAAAATATGCTTAAGCCGCAAAAGCCTGATTTAAATCAAAAGAAAGAAGGTTACCATATTAACATCTTATTTCAAGGGTCTCTGAGTAGGTTATTGGAAGTGTCAGTAATAAACAGGTGGGACAGGGCAGTTTCCAAAGCAGAATTGGACTTTGATTTTTCAGGATTTATCTGCCTAAATCAAAGAGTGCCTGTAGAGCTACATAGAACTTTTTATTGTACATAAATCTCTTATGAAAAGTAAATCAGCAGGTGACAATGAGAGTTGACTGCTCCATTGTTATTAAAAGCAATATAGAATCAGTGTTTGCTTTTCATGTTCTATAGCTATCGAGATTTATGGCATGAGAGTAATGCTGTCATCAGTCTTTCAAAGCAAAGCATATAATAGCATATTTCAACCATGTTGAAATATGGCCTGATATTTTTTTCTCAGGAGAACTGGCCTTGCAGCTTGTTTTCTTTCATTTAATTTCTCCATCAGTAGTTAATAGCAGCAGGATATACAGAATTCATTGTGATTAAACCTCATGAAATGTAAATGATACTGTACAGCAAGATTCATCAGAGTATTACTGATAACTTATGTGGCATTCTGTATACTAGTGAAGAACAAAGAAGTGAGTTATAGATACAATCCGTTTCCTTACATGGCAACATGAAATGGCTTAGGAAAAACAAATGAAAGGTAATTTTATTTTCCTCTAGAACTATGTTCAGCATCCATTGTAGAAATGAGAATTAGCTGTTTTCAAAAAAATGTGGTGAATTAGAATTGTATCTTTTTTTAGAGAACACATTCAAGATTTGAAGTAGTTCATCCCAAACCATACACACACACACACAAAAAAAAAAATCCTAATTCCTTTTACAGTTCTTAGTTAAAGTAGTAGTTTTAATAGAATTTTAGTCCAGAATCTAGTACAGATATTGTAGTCCAGGAATCTGTACAGATTAGGGGTCGACCTGCTGGAAAGCAGCTCCAGGGAGAGGGACCTGGGAGTCCTGGATGACACCAAGTTAACCATGAGTCAGCAGTGTGCCCTCGTGGCCAAGAAGGCCAATGGGATCCTGGCTGCATCAGGAGGAC